TGGGGTGCATTAAGAGGAGTGTGGCCAGCAGGTCGAGGGAGGTTATCCTCCCCCTCTACTCTGCCCTGGTGAGACCCCACCTAGAGTACTGTGTCCAGCTCTGGGCTCCCCAGTTCAAGAAAGATGAGGAACTCCTAGAGAGAGTCCAGAGAAGAGCAACTAGGATGATAAAGGGACTGGAGCATCTTCCCTATGAGGAAAGGCTGAGAGAGTTGGGCTTGTTCAGCCTGAGGAAGAGAAGACTGAGAGGGGACCTCATCAACACATACAAATATCTTAAGGGCGGAAGTCATGAGGACAGAGCCAGACTCTTTGCAGTGGTGCCCAGCGACAGGACAAGGGGCAATGGGTACAAACTGAGACATGAGAGGTTTCAGTTGAATATGAGGAAGAACTTTACTTTGAGGGTGACGGAGCACTGGACCAGGCTGCCCAGGGGGCTTGTGGAGTCTCCTTCTCTGGAGATATTCAAAGCCCACCTGGACGAAGTCCTGTGTAACATGCTCTAGGAGAACCTGCTTTAGCAGGGGGGTTGGACTAGGCGATCTCCCGAGGTCCCTTCCAACCCTTGTGATTCTGTGAAATTTACATTTTTATTTTATAACCTTATAAACTCACTATCAGATTTGTTAAATCTCATTCATTTACTATCAAATATTCCTCATTGATGATTACTATTAGGTTATTTTAAAAAATGTTCATATAGCACATTTTGCAGCATATTTCAAAAAAAGTTCAAAATAACCTCTTCCAGTATATTTAGCATTGCTTATTTCCCTGATTGGAAAACCAGTTACATACACAACCATAAGGCAGGACACCTAAACATCTTCAGGTACCATATAGAAAACATACACAGTCTTCCCATTCCCAGATAGGCCATTTAATTTTATTTTCCTGGAATGTTAGACTTGTTTCCCTCCCCACCTTAAGTCTAGTCACTCTGAGAGTGCACCTAAACTTGTCTTCCCTTAGGAGAAATACTGTGACATTACTTAAGGATTTGTTATTTATTTTCTTTACATGTTAGTATCCCATTTATTTGTAAGGCATTTCAGCAATTAGACTTAAGTTTGGTTTAAGTTTACTCGATCACAGATGTGTATATACTTTTTCCCAAGGCTACTAACTTGCCGTTTGGAAGGATCTTTTTTCCCCTCCCTTCCTCTGGTCCTCACCCACAGCCCCTTCCCACAGTCTTGGAACACTCTAGGTAGAATGAATCTCCCACGTACAAAGGCTCCCATCCAGACATGCTTTCATCTGTGCAAGGAAATAACCCTTTTTGGCAGCAAACCCCTACCTGCTCCACAGTTACTTACCGACACCACATCCTCAGGCGTTTCCAGCCCTCAGGAGGCCAAACCAGCAGCACTTAGCGGTGGCCCCTCCCGGGCCGCTACCTGGCGGCGTTAATGGGCGACCCCCGCCCTTCCTCGGCACGGTGCTGCGAGCCCCGCC